AACATAATGCGTCAAATATATCTTTTATTTACCTTTGTTCAGTTATCTCCAGAGACCTTCATTTCTTTGCCTAGATCCATGTTTCTCTCTGGTATCCTAGTCCTGCTGCCTAAAGAACTTCCTTTAATACTTCTTGTGGTACAGGTCTGCTATTAAGAATTTTCTCTGCTTTTGTCATTTAAAAAAAAAACTTTTTTTAATGTTTATTTCTGAGAGAGAGACAGCATGAGCAGGGGAGGGTCAGAGAAAGAGAGACACAGAATCTGAAACAGGCTCCAGGCTCTGAGCTAGCTGTCAGCACAGAGCCCGACACGGGGCTCGAACCCATGAACCGTGAGATCATGACCTGAGCTGAAGTCGGACACTTAANTTTGTTTGAGCTTCTTATAGATAGCACATATAGTCTCTTTTTTATTCATACTTAAAAAAAAAAAAACAACTTCTTTTTAATGTTTTATGTATTCTTAAGAGAGAGAGGTGGGGGACAGAGCACAAGCAGGGGAGGGCTAGGGCGAGAGAAGGACACAGGATCTGAAGCAGGCTCCGGGCTCTGAGCTGTCAGCACAGAGTCCGATGAGGGGCCGAAACTCACAAGCCGTGAGATCATGACCTGAGCCGAAGTCAGACACATTACTGACTGAACCACCCACCACCCAGGTGCCCCTCTTTTTTATTCAACCTTATGGTCTCTGTCTTTCCATTGGTGTGTTTTGGCCCCTTATATATAATTAAAGAGCAATGTAGTTGAATTAAAAACTACCATTTTTGTTTCCTGCTTTTTCATCTGTTCTTTTTTTCCTTTCTCCTTCTATTTCCATGGGGTTGTTTTTTTTTTTTTTGTTTTGTTTTTTTTTTTTGAGCATTTAAAATTTCATATGACCTCCACTGTTAGCTTATTCTTTATATCTCTCGTTATAATTTTTTTAGTGATCGCTGCAGGGTTTACAATATACATCCTGAATCACAGTCTTCCTTCAAATACTCTTGTACTGAAGCATGTATGTTGTAAGAACTTCACAGTAACACACTCCCAAATCCTCCCTCCCATCTTCTGTGATGCAGTTGTACTTTTTACTTAACTTGTAAGCCTACACTCCATTTCTCCTGTTTCTCTTTAGAAAGTTACGTTTAGAGCACTTTAAAATAAAAGAATACATTATATTTTACATTTGTGTATAGGTGATTATAACTTTTGTAGTTGTTGTATATAGGTACACAATATACAACATAATGCGTCAAATATATCTTTTATTTACCTTTGTTCAGTTATCTCCAGAGACCTTCATTTCTTTGCCTAGATCCATGTTTCTCTCTGGTATCCTAGTCCTGCTGCCTAAAGAACTTCCTTTAATACTTCTTGTGGTACAGGTCTGCTATTAAGAATTTTCTCTGCTTTTGTCATTTAAAAAAAAAACTTTTTTTAATGTTTATTTCTGAGAGAGAGACAGCATGAGCAGGGGAGGGTCAGAGAAAGAGAGACACAGAATCTGAAACAGGCTCCAGGCTCTGAGCTAGCTGTCAGCACAGAGCCCGACACGGGGCTCGAACCCATGAACCGTGAGATCATGACCTGAGCTGAAGTCGGACACTTAACCGACTGAGCCACCCAGGCGTCCCTGCTTTTGTCATTTTTAAAGAATAGTTTCACTGGGTATAGAATTACAGGTTCACAGTATTTTCTCTCAGCTCCTTATGGGGCCACATTGTGTTTGCTGGGCTGCTAGTGTGCAGGATTGATTCGGTCTGGTCAGGAGTTGAGCTGGGTTTGGGTTTGTTTTGATTACCTTCATCGTAGCATTAACTTCAAATTCTGGGTGCTGTCTTCTGGTTTGCATAGCTTCTGACAAGAGGTCGGCTGTGAGTTTCTTTATTCATTTGTACACAGTGTGTCATTTCTTCCTGGATGTTTTCAGCATTTCCTCTTTGGTTTTTAGCTGCTTGGACATGTTGTGTCTTCATGTTTGTTTCTAGGATTTTCGTGCTTGGGTTCTCTGGAAATGTTGGATCCCATTACACTGTTTAATATTACCCCACAGCTTTTGGATTCTGTTTTGTGTCTTTAACTCTCTTTTTCTCTGTTTTCTTTTTTTTTTTCTTTTTAAAATATTTAAGTAATCCCTATACCCAACATGGGACTCGAACTCACAACCCTGAGATCAAGAGTCGCTTGTTCTTTCAGCTGAGCCAGCCAGGCACCCCAACTCTTTTCCTCTTATGTATCAGTTTGAGGACTTTTTATTCAGTAATATTGATTGATCAGTCTTCCTCCTCCGTAAGTGTTGAATCTCTTGATGAGCCTGTTGAGGTCAATCTGCTTTATTGCTACTGCATTCTTATTTTTAACATTAACATTTGACTTTTACAGTTTCCAGCTCTCTGCTGGGGTTGCTTATCTGTTCCTACATTTTGTCTACTTTTTTGACTAGGGTCTTTAACATACTAGTTACTTTAAATTCCCTCATAGTTCTGGGTCATCCCGGAGTTTTTCTGGTGATTGCTTTGTCCCTTCACAGTGCGTTGTGTTTTTCCTCTTTTGTGTGCATGTGTATCTCATAATTTTTGATTGAATGTTGGACATGAGTAAGACAGTAAAGACTGAAGTAGATAGTATTTTGGCCTAGAAATGGGCATACTTCCCCTAGGTTGTTTGTATGGGGATCAAGTCAGTCTAGTTAGGAGTTAAGGTTCCTTAGATTTGGTTTTGGTTTTGGTTTTTTAAATAGGCTCCATGCCCAGTGTGGAGCCCAGCATAGGGCTTGAACGCACAACCCTGAGATCAAGACCTGAGCTGGGCTCCTGGGTAGCTCCAGTCGGTTAAGCGTCTGACTTCGGCTCAGGTCACGATCTCACGGGTTGTAAGTTTGAGCCCCACGTCGGGCTCTGTGCTGACAGCTCAGAGCCTGGAGTCTGCTTCGGATTCTGTGTCTCCCTATCTCTGTCCCTCCCTCGCTCACGCTCTCTCTGTCTCTTAAAACATTTAAAACATTAAATGTTTAAAAAACATTTAAAACATCTCTTAAAACATTAAAAATAAATGTTAAAAAAAATTTTTTTTAAAAGACGCTTTTTTTGCTTCCCTTCGCTGCACCACAAGCCTCTGTTGCTACCGTGTCTTTGGAGTTGGGGCTGAGTTTCCAGAATATTTCTCAGGATTCCTCTTCTCCCCTCCGCTTTCAGCCTTCCTTGCATTTCTGGGCCTCAAAGGGAATCTCTCCGAGTTCTGTCCTTCCCCAGTCTTCCCCAGCCGCACATTCCTGTGGTGCCCACTAGGTGCCTCCTCCTTGGGGCAAGGAAAGTTGGGAGGGCCTTTCCTGTTATCCTGGTTCGCCTTCAATCCCTGGGGCCCTGGGCTCCCTGAGGCTGGCCTTTCTCTGGCCCTGCCTGTCCCACAGGCTTATATTTTTATTTTCCTTTTCACTTTCTACCCCCTGTAGGAGACTGGATTTGGAGACCTATTCCTAGTCTCTTAAGGCTTTTATTCTTTTTTTTTTTTTTTAATTTATTTCTGAGAGAGAGAGAGAGAGCGTGAGCAGGGGAGGGTCAGAGAGAGAGGGAGACACAGAATCAGAAGCAGGCTCCAGGCTCTGAGCTAGCTGTCAGCACAGAGCCCGACGCGGGGCTCGAACCCACGAACCGTGAGATCATGACCTGAGCTGAGGTCGGACACTCAACCGACTGAGCCACCCAGGCGCCCCAAGGCTTTTATTCTTTAGGGGAGAAGGGCTGGGCTGGGCTCGGGCCGGTTTTGCAGGGTTGGCTGCTCCCCTCCGCCTGGCCCGCATCACCAAGGGAGGCGCTCTCCGGCCTCCTGCTCGGGCCCCGTCCTTGTCAGGAGCGACCTCCGAGGGCTGTGGAGAACAGCCTGCAGGGTGTGAGCTCCGCTGGTGGCTGTGGCCAGCCCACACTTGGCTTGTGGCAGTTCGTTAGAAATCTTAGCCTGACTCTTCTTCCCTGTTCATAGGGTGCCCGGTGTCTCTCCTTCCCACGCGTGTCTCAGGCGAGCAGGTGCCCCTGTGCAGCTCCTCCTTTGAGGGGCTTCCCTTCCGAACACCTTAGGCTGCTTGGTTGCCCGCCACCTGCGTTCTCTGACGACTTCGCAGAGAGTCGTGCTCCGTGTGCGTTATCTGGCTTCTGTCGTCAGGATGGGCGCCGTGGGCTCTGCAGCTGTCGCCGTCGGGGGAAGCCTGAACCTCCCGGACGCTGGGCTGTGTGCTGAGTGAGGGGGGATCGGGCATCATTTTGAGGAGTGCCCCCACCCCGGCCCCAGCATGTGGTCCTGACAGGAGGGTCACCGCCAGCACGTTCCCCAGGCTTTCCCAGTGGGAGGCTCTCCTTGTAACTCGAACCTTAAGTTGGACCTTAAGTGAGCATCTCAATGTGGAGAGAGAGGCGGGAGGTGAGCGCGCCCACGGCGACACTCGTGTGTCTCAGCTCTCGATGCCGTTGTCTGTCCGTTGGAGCCCGGTTCTCCTGACTTACGTCCACGTTGTGCGCCCCAGGTGGCCTCGTGATGAATTCCTTTTGGCTTCAGTTCGCAGAGCCTCTAGTTTGTCATGTACAACTGAGGGGTTTTGCCTCAGGAAATGCATCGCATAACCAGAGGACGGGAGCGCGCCAAGTGCCGAGCAGAGCAGTGCGGCTGACTTTGGACAGGCCAGGGGCCGGCAGACTTGTTCATAAAAGACCAGACGGTAAATACCCTTGTCCGGCGGCCAGATGGTCTCCGTTGCAGCTCCGCAGCCCTGCCAGCGCAGTGCCACGGCCAGAGAGCCACGGCCAGAGAGCCACGGCCAGCGGGAGCAGCTGTCCCAGTCGAGCTCCGTGCACGTTTGGGCCGCCGCCGTTTGCCGACTCGCGGGAGGCTGCCGGGTCCGCTCCGGGGGAGGACGGACACCGTCTGTGTCGCTGCTGGTTCTTTGCCAAGGCTACAGTTTCAGGTTTCGAGGTCCTCGTGCCCGAGTATTGACTGACAGTTCTTCCTGTCTATTCTTCTCTTGCAGAAGCAAAACCAGCCCCAGAAATCTTTGAAAACGAAGTCATGACCATGCTCAGAGACTTTGCTAAAAACAAGAACAAAGAGCAGAGACTGCGCGCCCCAGATCTCGAATACCTCTTTGAAAAGCCGCGTTGAGCTGTGCACTACTGCCCGCCCTGGGGGCTCAGTCCCCGGACCCTTACTTATGACAGGCAATGGCCTTGACTCCCCGCCTCTCTGTAGACAGCCCACACAGGCCACTGGCTTGCCTCAAATGATGGCCCCGTCTCTCAGGACTTGTAGACGTTCATTTGGACCCATTCTAACATTTCTGTTCAGGTTTTAGGCCCCAGTCAGTGTGGCCGGTGCTCAGGTCCCAGTGTCTGGCTGCTGTCCCCAGAGGCAGGCCTCTGCCACAGGAGGGCGCTGGAGGGAAGCGATCGTGCTCCCTCCCTGCTTCAGCCAGGAGGGGAGGCGAGTGTGCTCGGTGCAGGGAGCTGCTGGTCCGTGTGGAAGGCCTCCCTGAGCAGCCCGGGGCTCTGTTCACGTGAAAGCCCCCCCTTTCCGCCCCGGTGCCATCCTTTCTACCCGGGGAAGCGGACCCAGGCCCCCTGAGCTGAGTCTTTCGAAGGCAACGCGGGCAGCAGGGGGCCCACACTGGGCCCGGCGTGTAAGACTCGGCTTCCTCCTCATCGCGTCTTCTCTCCAGTGTTCACTCTGTAAACCGAAAGATCATTAAATATTAAAGAATATTTCACAAAGGAAAACTACAGTCCCTCTGACCCTCGCTCGATGATTTTAACGCTGTCTGTTCTCATGGATTCGTAGTCCTTTGTCTCTAGAGCGTTCGAGTCCCGCCCACAGGTGTTACGTCCATGCAGCATGATGGCCCACTTTCTCTATATTTCTACCGTCTTCCCAGTTCTTGTAGTTGATCCATGAACAATGAGGAATGGCGTCTTCAAGTGGATCAGTGGCAGGTGTTGAGCTCTGGGGCCGGAAGTTCTGTGTGGCCAGCGGTGGTCTCGCTGGAGCGATTTTGCCCTCAGAGCTGTAATCCAGTCAGAGCCGTAGGCACCCGGGCTGGGCCAGGGCCTCCTGAAGGCGTGACCCTCAAGAAGACAGGTCAGAATTGATAAGCACGTGGCTGGTGACAGGAATCGTGGGCTCACAGGGTCAGGAAGCTGTGGGGTCCCCATAGAGCGTCCTCGTGGTCCTTCCTGCCTTCAGTGGCCCCGGCTGGCCGAGGAGGGAAGAGAACCCGTCTTTCCTTACGTGACCTCATGAAAGCCTCACCGTGCCCCTCTGGAAAAGTGGTGTCGTGCTAATCCTGTAGATGAGAAGGTGGGCCCAGAGTGACTCGTTTGTCCAAGGTCGAGTAGCTATTCATTCATAATTCACTGTCTCCTTTAGGGGCACCTGAGTGGCTCAGTCAGTTAAGCATCCAACTTCAGCTCGGGTCATGATCTCACAGTTTGTGAGTTCGAGCCCCACATCGGGCTCTGTGCTGACAGTGCAGAGCCTGCTTGGAATCCTCCCTTTCTCTCTCCCTCCCTCTCTCTGCCTCTCCTCCACTCTTTCTCTCAAGAAAAAAAAAGGTAGGATGACTTCTTTTTAAAGAAGAAATTGCATAGTCTCCTTTAGCTCAGTCAGCTTCTCAAGTGTGTGCACATTGTCCTAGGTCACTCTGCCTCACGGGTGGAAACTTCGGAGAAATTCATTCTTTGAAGAGATAGGATGAATTCTGAGACATGAACCTGTGTGTCAAAGGGGCAGGAAGCTGCTAGATGCCTCCCCAAGTAAGCACTGGCCACCCAGCATGGCTCTGGGCAAGGCGGCAGCATAGACACCGCTTTCAAGTTCAGATCCTGGTTCCGCCGCTCACTTGCTAGATGAATGAATTGACCCAAGCCTCTGTTTTCTCCTCCGTAAAATTGGGATGATGACTCCTGATCTCAACCAGCTGTGAGTTTCAGATGAGAAGAGAAAGCTTGTGGGGCGCCTGAGTGGTTTGGTTGAACATCCAACTTCGGCTCAGGCTGTGGTCTCAGGGTTTGTGAGTTCGAGCCCCACATTGGGTTCTGCTGTCAGTGCAGAGCTCACTTTGGATTCTCTGTCTCCCTCTCTCCTCTGCCCCCCACCCCCAACTCACACTTCCTCAAAAATAAAAAAGCGAGAAAAGGAAAAGCTCATGAAGCTCTTATGTGTGCCCCCCACCCTCCCTTCCAACACAGTAAGATCTCAGTAGATATGAGGTGTCAGGGCTTGGTCACAGGCTTCTGAGCCTGAGAGTTAAAAGCTCTCTCCTAACACATTGCCTGGCACGTCTGTGAGGTCACCAGAGCCCGTGCAGGTAGGAAAGCCCAGCTTGTCAGACCCAGCCAGTGAAGACAGAAAACCCCTGGGGGACGAGAAGTGCTCTCCCCTAAGCAAGGAGTAGGAGTGACTGGAGGCAGAGGCAGGGCCGGTGACCAGGCGCCCGCCCCCTGGCCGCCCTTGGGCCTCTTGGTGAGCTGTGGGGAGGGAATCAGATGGAGTCTGTATAGCGATCCACACGGATGTGAGAAGCGCACACGAACTGGGCGGTGACTTACTTGTCCCTTCTGGACACTTATGCAACCCACCCCACCAGCCGAGTAGGCAGTTTGGGCTCTTTCCCCCTGGGGCTTGAGGTCTCCTCACCCTGATTTTGTCTCATTTAACGTGGTGTTCGGCCCTCGCCACCTCCTCCCAGGAACGGCCTGCTTCTGGAAGGAATCATTTCCCTTCCAGCCTGCTGGCCTGTGTCATCTTTGGAAGGGAAGGCTCTTGCTCACTTCGGCTGCCCAGTGTCCGGCCCAGGGGTGCTGTGTAAACAGTTTTCCCCTTTATTAGGCATTAACTAAAACTAGGCCACAGTGTGTTTTTTAAAAATTAATAAACAGCTAGCAAGGGCCCGCAGCCCCCCAAGGATCTGTGATGAACAGGAGCTGGACCCACTGCTCCCGTCTGACACCTCAGTGCTTGGTGACCTCATTTCGAGCCTGAGCCAGGCAGATGAGCATGTGGCCCAGCCCTGACCCATCTGAAGTGGCCGCTGCGCGGCCCGTCACACTAGGTCCTCTCTCAGTCATAAGCCTTCAGAAGGCATAAGCCCAGCGCCTTCGCCCCAGCTCTGTGCCTTGGAGCGGAGCCGTTGGGGTCACCGTGGAGGTGCCTCTCGCTGGCCTAGGGCACCTTCGGAAGGTTATCTGGTCTGACTCGGAGCCCCAGCCAGCGTGGCCCAGACACACACCTGCCTCATGTTTTGAAACTTCTGCAGGGGAAGAGATTGCACCGGCAGGGCTTATCTCCTCCAGCCTGTCTGCCGCCGCCGCTGTGATGAGATGGGGAGGAGGGATACGGAAGCTGGGCAGCCTGGCCGGGCCAGCGGGTCTGCGAGCCTCTGAGCCCAAGGGCCCCCATCCTGTGGCTGTCACAAGGGTGATGCCAGCCGGCATCCAAACAGCTTCCAGTTAGGCCATCTGTTGGCCGGGAGCCTTCTGGGAGGGTGGAAGGTCCAGAATCCTCCCCAGTCAGGGAAAATGGCCTCAGTGGGACAGGAGGGCAGCCTGGGGCAAGGGCCACTCTTTCAGCTTTGAGAACCACGTGTCTGCGAGCGCTCTGACGTTTTAAGGTGGGTTCTAAAAAAGTGGATGCTCTCCAGGATAACAGGCTTGAATGGGGAAGGGCTGCAGAGAAGAAATCTACCAGCTCAGGACCGGCAATCACAGAAGCGGAGCCCAAGTCTTTTGCTGGGTCCCCGGTCTTGCCTGAATCCAGATACCCCTGCCAGAGAGGAGAATGTTCTCTATAAAAGGCACTGTGAACACACCATCCGTAACTACATGTCGCAGAGTGTCGTTTTAAAGCAAATTGACATTTTGAAGGTGTGACAAGGAGAAGGGGTACATTCTACTTGCCAGTGGATTTCAGGTTCGTGAGGATTGAATAAAATGTTCACATTCGGCGATGCCCCGGAACGTGTTTCGGGCAAATATCGCAGGGTGGATGCTTGGGAGTCAGACCTAACTAAGCATCCTGGATCTCTCATTGGTGAGCCGAGTGGGCCCGGGGCCCTAGAGGAGCTGCCCCACCCCCAGGACCCACACTGGCTGGGAAAAACGGAAAGAAAAGGAACCTCCTCGCACATTGGGGCGGGGGCGGGGAAGGACCAAATGAGGTCATGCACGGAAGGCGTTTAGCACAGTACCCGGCACCTTGGCAGCTCTCCGTAGTCATGGCAACAGCACTGTGTGCTAATGGCGGGCTCAGCCCTGCTAAGGGGATCACGTGGAATCCACCCCTGAAGGCCATAATGGGCATGGGAGGTAGGTACGGTTATCATTCCCCTTCTGCAGATGAGACCAGTGAGGGGGGCCGAGACGAAGCCGCTTGCGGGAGGTCGCAGCTGGGAAGAGGTAGAGCAAGCATCTGCAGGCAGGCCTTGGGCACCATGTGCTCCACTGCCTCCAAACGCGAATGCCAAGGCCAGTACCCCTCTGCTACGGACTGCGCGTTCGGGGTCTCGGCTTGGTCCGTGGAGGACAGCTGGGCCGACTTTGCAGAGGTGGTCCCTTGGTCCCCAGGCCCTGGCTAGTGCGGAAATGACGTCATGGCCTCCGCAGCTCCAGCCTTACCCACCTGCGCCCCCCAACCATGACAGATGCACTCTCCAGATGACAGTTTGGACCTTCCCTCCCTGCTTCTGAGAAAGGCAGAGAACATTGCCATCGGAGGGGAAAAGTATCGGGAATAATGCCCACACCCCAGTAGGGGGCGGATGGACCCCGGCGCCCCGGGTTTCAGAACCCCTCCGCGCAGCCTCTATTTTCGGAAGCCCGTCTGGGTTTGGGAGTTCACTTCCTTCCGGAGACCCAGGCAGAGAACCAAGAACTTTCTCCTTTCCACAGTGAGAGAGACCAATCTAACTCAGTCAAACCCTTCTGCCCAGTTGAAGGGCATCCAGCCACCTAGGAAGCTGGGGACCGATCCTTCAAGCGCACAGAACCACTGGAACTAGAGAGAGGAAAAAAGTATGCCATCGGAGCAGTGCACCCAAGAGGGCTGTGACTCCTGCGGAACCCGGGCTCTCCCTGCTGGGAAGGCTTGCTCTGAGCTCTGCAGTGTGATTGACACATCGGGTTTTTTTTTTTTCTTCTTAAATAATTAGAAACACCTACTATGGGCCAAGAGATGTGTATAGATCCCTAGCCGGGCGCTAGGGATATGAAGATGAGCACAAATAGATTTAACCCTTGTCCTCATAGACCTTACAATCTGGTGAGGAGACAGTCATTCATCAGAGAATCACCAGATGGATTTAAAACAGAGGTTACGGTAGCTGCTCTGGGGAAGTGCCACCTGAGCTGAGATCTGAAAGAGGATGGGGTGAAGAAGGAAACTGAGGCAAGAGCATTCTAGGCAGAAGGAGCTACACGTGCAAAGGACCTGTGGTGGGAGGGGCTGTGGAGAGGTCTAAGGACCATCTAGAGGCTGAAGCACAGAAACTGAGAAGAGAGCCGGGCCAAGATGCAGGACCCTCGGAGGTCACGTGAAGGGTTTTTCTTTTTTTAAAGAGCGGTGGGCAGCCATGGAAAAGTTCAAGGAGATGGAAGTCATGAGCAGAACAGTGTATTGGAGGGGCGCCTGGGTGGCTCAGTCGGTTAAGCGTCCAACTGGAGCTCAGGTCATGATCTCATGGTTCGTGGGTTCGAGCCCCACCTCGGGTTCTGTGCTGACAGCTAGCTCGGAGCC